CTGGAGGGTTAAGAGTGCTGGCTACTTTTCCCAAGGATCAAATTTGGGTTCTCAGCAACCACAGTGGAAGGTTCATAATGACCTTTAACTCCAGCTCTAGAGGATCTGACACCCTCTCTGGCCTCTTGAGGGGCACCAGCACACAGGCGGCATACAGGCATAGACACACACTTAAGTAAAAACAAATCTTAAAAAAAAAAAAAAAAAACAGGACAGGATAAAACTCTGAAGTCTAAGTCTATGTTATCTAATCCAATCACAAACCACAAGAATTGGATAAGGTTTTATAATAAGAAGTTAACATAATCTAAGTGTGAAATGAATTTGATTTGGGAATAGGCGGGTTAAGAGGGATGTTCAGATTGTTAGACGATTATAAAGCAGCACACACATACTGAACCCAGATTTTTTTTCCCAAACATGAAATATTTGACCAAGAATACCTTTAAATATTTGAACAAGGTACCCAGTTTACAACAGTTATAAAGGAACATATTACCTAGGATGGTTGGTAATACCAACCATGGTTGGTATTAGTCAAACTGCCATGCTCATAACCCAGCTCTGCCACCCACCGGCTATGTACCTTGGGACCAACTCAACTCCCTGTATCTGTTTCCTCAACTGAAAAATGGAGATAACAAGACCTGTCTCACAAAGGTGTGGACAGGATTCCAGGGCATGCAAATTACTCAGGAAAAAAATGTGTGTAGACCTGTGTTCTGGTTGGGATAAATTCTCAGCTAATCTGGCATATAATACTTCTAGAATTCCCTACAAAAATAAGTAAACCAACTGAAATTTTTTATTAATTTATTGTGTGTGTGTTTGTGTACGCCCATGTGTGCAGCCTGGTGCACTTGTGGTAATGAGAAAACAACACAAGGGAGTTATTTCTCTCCATCTCTATGTGGGTTCCAGGGATCAAAATCAGGTCAACAGGCTTGGCAGCAAGTGCCTTAATCTGCTGAGCCACTGCTGGCCCTCTTTTAAGTTCCAAATATTTAGAAATATAAAACCAGAACTAGGATACACCCAGGTTTGAGGCTGGTAGTATCGAAAGGAAAGCATGGGAAGGCAATCCCCATTTTTCCACCCCCCTTTTTTTTTTTCCTGGCTTATTTTTACCTTTTTTTGGGGTTGTTTTTGTTTTGTTTTGCTTTTGTTTTTGAGACAGGGTCTCCCTGTAGTTCAAGCTAGCCTGGAACTTACTATATAGACCATGCTGACCTTGATCACACAGAGATCAGCCTGCCTCTGCCTCCCACTGCCTGGGATTAAAGGCACACACCACCATGCCCAGTGTACTTTCGTTTATTTTTTTGGTCTTTTTGAGACAGTGTCTCCCTGTAGCCCGAGCTGTCCTGGAACTATGTAGACCAGGCTGGCCTTGAACTCACAGAGATCCACCTGCCTTTGCCTCCCGAGTGCTGGGACTATGGGCGTGCACCACCACGCCCAGCTACTTTGGTTTATATATTTTTAAAAGTTTATTGTGTACAGGGCAAGGAAGCAGTGGGCTGAGTATTAGCTAGACTACTGCCCTGCCTTGTGTTTACTTACTTTTTGTTTTTTTGAGACAGGGCCTCCCTGAAGCCCCAGCTGGCCTGGAACTCACAAAGATCCACCAGGCCTCTGCCTCCCTAAGTGTGGGGGTTAAAGGCCTGTGACGCCACACCTGACAGTGTTAATCTTTTTATTTTTTATTTTATGTGTATGCGTGTATTGCCTACATGTGGGTAAGTGCATCCGTGTTGTGCAATGCCCGCGGAGGAGAGAAGAGGTTGTCGGATCCCCTGGAACTGGAGTTGTGGACAGTTGTTAGCTGCCATGTGGGTGCTGGGATTCAAACCCGGGTCTTCTGCAAGAACAACCAGTGTTCTTAACTGCTGAGCCATCTCTCCAGCCCCAACAGTGTTGATTTTTTTAAAGAAAGGTTCTCACTCTGTAGCCCAGGCTGGCCTCAAACTTGGTAATCCTCCTGCCTCAGAGTGCTGTGTGCTACCAAACCTATTATTTTCCAAAAATCTTTTTTTTTTTTGGTCTTTTTGAGACAGGGTCTCCCTGTAGCCCCAGCTGTCCTGGAGCTCACTATGTAGACCAGGCTGGCCTTGAACTCACAGAGATCTGCCTGCCTCTGACTCCTGAGTGCTGGAATTAAAGGCATGTGCCACCATGCCCGACTTTTTTTTTTTAATATTTAATTTTTAAAAATTTTATTTTATGTGTATAAGTATATTGCCTGCATGTATGTGAGTGCACCTGTGTTGTGCAATGAATGCCGCAGAGATCAGAAGAGGGCTTCGTATTTCCCTGGAACTGGAGTTAAGGACAGTTCGTAGCCACCATGTGGGTGCTGGGACTCGAACCCGGGTCCTCTGCAAGAGCGGTCAGTACTCTTAACCACTGAGCCATCTCTCCAGCCCCCTGCTTGCACATATTTTAAAATATTTCCCACACTAGCTAGCTCCATGACTGCTAGTAACGTTTTTGTCCATCCTTCCATCCTTAGTTAAACATTAACACATACTCGGCATTCAAATATTTGTTTAACAAATCAAACAATGATCCTTAAGGTCTCTTCCAGCTTAAAAAAAAAATTAAATAGGATAATAAATAGCCAGGATAAGGGGAAAGGCTTTGATTCATGGGTCCAGGAAACATAAATGATACCTTACTATGATCAAACTAAACAAATGGCTGCATTCCAAGGAGCTTAGTTAGAACCTGACTGATGTAATCGACTAGGACCTCCCCCAAACAATACAATGATGACTTTGTAAGTTTGCTTTCAAATTTGCCTTAGCTTTTTACCCCCTTCGGTGTGCTGGAGGACTGTACTTAGGGCCTTGTGCATGCTAGGCAAGTGTTCTACCATTGAGCCACAACTGGAACCTAAGCCTTGCTTATTCTTTTTGTTTTGTTTTTAGAGACAGGGTCTCCCTGTAGCCCCAGCTGACCTAGAAGTCACTATGTAGATCAGGGTGGCCTCAATCTCACAGAGATCTCCCTGCCTCTACCTCCCGAGTGCTGGGATTAAAGACATACAGCCACCACACATGGCTTTTGCTTACTCATTTGGACAACTCGTGATCTAGGCCCAAACCGCTCTCCAATAACGGGTTGGCCACATAAGAATTAGCTGTAAAGCTTAGTAAAAAGAGATTTACAGAATCCTGGCTTAGTATTAGTGAAGCATGGCTCTACAATTCATATATTTAAAACTTACTTTGAAATGTGCAGCTATTCTAGCCATAAAAACAATGTTAAAGTTTCCCTTTCACTCCTGTCTCCTTTCTATGAGCTCCCCTGCCCATAAACTATTAGTTACCAATCTCTTTGATAGAAGAGTTGTTTTAACCTAATTTTCTCTCTTTGAGACAGGGTCCTTCTCCGCAGTAGCTTAGGTGGTCTTGAACTCACAGTTCTCCTGCCTTAGCCTCCTGAGCACTAGGATTACAGGTGTGTTGCACCACAGTTAGCTCCAATACAGGTTTTTGTTGTTTCTTTTCCTAATTCCACTTAAGAATGTATGTTGTTATTGTTTCAGAGGTGGAGAACAAATGGCTTGGAGCATGCGAGGTAAGAACTGGACCAGAGGATTCTGATGCGAAGCCACAGACAGAAACCATTCACTGACCCAGGCTTGAGGGATTATGTTCAACTCAGTATAACACATTACAAGGGTGAGGACATGGAGTTGCCTTGCGTCTGGTCACTGGTCTCCCACGGATGAACTGAGCCATTTTCCAATGTCTCCAAAGTCAGGAGACACTAGCCATTCAAATGGATGTTGCCAAAATTCTGTAATTCCTGAAATCCTTTCCTGTTCATTATTACCTGAAATTACAAACCTGGCAAGTCCTGTGTGACACAAGACATTTTGGCATTTGGATGGAAACAAAGTTTGATCTACACCGAAGTGCTGCTTTTTAATCCCAACATTCAAACAGTTTCATTGAGCACAACCGAATACATGGCCTTTACTAATCCTTACTAATACAACAGTGTCCAATTCTCCCCTAGAACTGCTTTCTTACCAACTGGTCCAAAGCAATTAACTTAGAGACTGTTGAGCCAAGACTGTATTGTCAGGTTGGAATGTGATGAATTCAAAGGTCTGGCTCAAGTTGACCTGACTTGACCTCGACCTGGGGGCGAGGGCTGAGCCCCTCTGCTGCACTAACTCTCCCTTCCCATCTACCCTAGCGACTGCAGAGGCGTTTCCTTTTGGTGCGGAGGGCCATCACAGACTCTCCTCCGCAGTGTCCCTTCCACCATGAGGGACGCCTCATCTCCCCTACTTCGGGCCAATGAAAGCATGTAAGAGGGCTCCCCAGGAAGCCAGGGAGCCCACCAAGAACAGCTTAGTTAAAGGGGACCTGGAGGGCTTGTTCTCAGCCTGAGCCCCTGGGCAAGGAAAGCATATGACTTCTCTGTCCCTACTCCCTGGATTCAGACATAAAGATGGAAAGAGGCTCGCTGCCCAAGTCCATGCTCTGAACCCAAGCTCACGCTGAGCCCCAAGTCCATCCTCCCAGCCCCAAGCTCATGCTCCGAGCCCCAAGTCCATTCTCTCAGCCCCAAGCCCAAGCTCCGAGCCCTAAATCCATTATCCGAGCCCCAAGCCCAAGCTCCGAGCCCCAAGTCCATTCTCTCAGCCCCAAACCCATGCTCCGATCCCCAAGTTCATGCTCCGAGCCCCAAGCCCATCCTCCCAGCCCCAAGTTCATGCTCCGGGACCCAAGTCCATTATCCCAGCCCCAAGCCCAAGCTCCGCGCCCCAAGTCCATAATCCCAGCCCCAAGCCCAAGCTCCGAGCCCCAAGTCCATTCTCTCAGCCCCACACCCATGCTCCGAGCCCCAAGCCCAAGCTCCTCCGTTCCCTGCCCCTCTCGGTCTTTTCTCATCCTCCGTCCGGCATCGGCCCCTAGTCCGGTCCCAGTCTCGCCCCCTCCGGCCCGCGGCCGCCCTCTTTCCACCTGACCCCGGCCCCTCACCCAGCATGATGGGGCTGAGCCGCCGGGCCAGGCCCTTGGACAGGTCGTACACGTAGAGCTTCACCGGGTAGAGGTTCGGCGGCTCCATCAGGACCCGTGGCGGCGGCCACGATGGCCCTTGGGGTACCCGGCAGCGGCTTGGACCTTCCGGGTACCCTACCGGGGCTGGGGAGAGGAGGGAGCGGGGACAGAGCCGGGGCCCGGCCTGAAGAGCGGGGGAGAGACCGCCCAGCGATGCTCGCGACCCCCCGCTCCCTACCAGCAACGACTACAGTGAGGTGACAGAGGGAACCGGGAAGGTCTTCACAGAACAGGGGGCGGGGGGAACGCAACGCTGCGCATGCGCGGATCGCACGCCCGGGGCAAGGCTTCCCCGGGGGCGGGGCCTCGCGGAGGGGCGGGACTTTCCCTGCTGCCGTTGGTTGAGGTGAGGAATGCCTGAGGAAGCCGGGGTGGAAGTGGGCGTGTCCTCTTGACGGGCAGGAGGGCATGCTGTGCGTGATGACGTTTTTGGGGTTGATTGGGCGGCAGGACTGGAGTCCTCGCGTGGACGTGGAGTACGGCTTGTTTGTAAGCGTGTGTCCTGCCTGCTGCAAAGGTAGGCGAGCCGGTTCCGCCCCTGTTGGACGTCCGGCCGGGGCAAGGGCGACCTTGCAAGCCCACTCAAGTCTGGTCCTTAGGCCTCCGCGGAGCAGCGTCCGCCGGAAGTGTGCACACACTCTGGGCGGCGCTCCTTTCTTCCCTGGAGAAGGCACAGGCCTGGTGGTTGAGACCTCATGGGGCGTGATTGGCGGAAGATTTGGGGCAGCCCTGGAGGCGGGATGAGGACGGGTGGTTCAGCTAGAGGACCCGACCCCATCACGGCGCTGGGGTGGGATCTCCATGGCTGCTTCGGCACCGCCCCCAGCCACTTGGGTCCTGCAGCATCCTTAAGGGATAGCCACGGTGATGATGCTGCGGAGGACCCTCTAGGCCTGTTACCTCTGCTCTTCAGTAACCCAGCGCTTTGGAGGCAGCAGGAGCCCGTCGTTCACATGATTCAGTAGTTACCCCGACCAGTTAGAGCAGATCTTAACCTAGAAGGCAAGCACTTTACCACCGAGCTGCATCCCTCAGTAATATATTTCTTAATATATTCTGTTTTATGGGTATGCGTGTATTGCCTGCATGTATTCAAGTGCACCCTTGTGCAATGCCGTCGAAGGTCAGAAGAGGACGTCGGACTTCCCTGGAACTGGAATTTCGGATGGTTGTTAGCTGCCATGTGGGTGCTGGGACTCGAACCCTGGTCCTCTGAGAGAGTAGCCAGTGCTCTTAACCGCCGAGCCATCTCTTCAGCCCCAATAATATTTTTTTCCATTTAAATTTGCTTGTTATTGTTCATAACTTCTTTCACCTAGTGAGCAAAACCCAACATGTCAGGGTGGGAATCCTACTACAAAACGGAGGGGGAGGAAGAGGAGGAGGAAGAGGAGAGCCCTGATGCAAGTGGTAAGTGGCTTCATGGGTAGTGTGGTCTGTGTGGAAGAAAGCCCTTTCCTTCTTGATTTTTGCTGGAAATACTTTGCTGTCTGATAGTCCTCTCTTCACTCCCCAGATAATCTGAAATCTTTTTTTCGGCTTTTGAACTTTACAGAGTTATTTTTATTCATGTCCTATTCCACTCTATGAACATTTCTAAATCTAAATTTTGCTGGTCACCAGTAGATTATCTGTTGATCCCAATAAATCTTTTTTAGGTCTATTTATGTATGTTTTTGGTTGTTTTTTTTTTTTTTTTAAATGTGTATGAGTGTATTGCCTGCATGCATGTGAGTGCACCCGTGTCGTGCAATGCCTCGGAGGTCAGGAGAGGGTTTTGGATTCCCTGGAACTGGAGTTAAGGACGGTTCATAGCTGCCATGTGGGTGCTGGGAATTGAACCTGGGTCCTCTGCAAGAGAAGTCAGTGCTCTTAACCCCTGAGCCATCTCTCCAGCCCCTTGGTTTGTTTTTTTGAGACAGGATCTCAGATAGCCCAGGTTGGCCTTGAACTCACAATGTTGCTGAGGTTGCCCTTGAGCTCCTGATCCTCCTGCTTATACTCCCAGAGGCTGGGGTTACAGGCAAGCACCACCACCCTATCTTCCTTTTGTCACCTATTGTGGCTCAGGTAAGATCTTTCTTACCCAAAAAGGTGGTTTTATTCATTACAAGACCTCTCTGTAAAATGCCTTTACCTTCCAATAGCTGCAGAAAGTGGTAAATAAGCACACTTACTGGGTAATGATTCCCTCCACCTTCAGCTATGTAGATTCAGCCTTCACAGCACTACATACTACACAGGAGGAGAAATAAAGGGCAAATGTAATCCAGATACTGCTTATAACTTCTGGGTAGAACATTTTAGTATTTTTATATTAAATGTGAGAAACATAGGGCAAGAAACATAAAACTTACTGCGGTCTATACATCCACTGCTTAACCCAGCTACTACTCCCAATTTGACTTCACTGGTTTGTTTTGCTTTGTTTTTTATTTATGTATTTATTTTTTTGAGATAGGGTTTTTATGTAGCCCTAGGTGGCCTGGAACTCACTAGGCTGGTCTGAATCCCACAGAGATCCACCTGCTCTGCCTACACTGTGCTGGGATTGAAGATGTATGCCACCACTCCTCGTGAGATAATAGTTACTGTTGGGGAGACTTAGGCATTGTAGTTGAGAAGGAGTATAGGAAAAACTTGTGGGGTGCTTGGCAAGACTCAGTGTCCTGACATGAGCGGTGGGTTTAAGTGTGTTCACCTAATCATAATAATTGAGGTTGCACTTTTGCTGTGTGGGCTCTTCTCTGTTTGTTTTCCATGAATGATAAACATAATAAACATGATTTAGGAGGTAAACATTTCCTTCCATTTCTTTCCTTGCAGGAGAATATAAATATTCAGGAAGAGATAGTTTGATTTTTCTGGTGGATGCCTCCAGGGCCATGTTTGAATCTCAGGGTGAAGATGAAATCACTCCTTTTGATATGAGCATCCAGGTAAGACCATCTTTTTATTTGATTTAAAAAAGAATTTAGGCAGAAGTCTGTGGAGCAGAACTTGGGTAGGTATCATGCTCTTGGGGATCAGGTCAGAATTCCAGGGATAGCTTCTCTCTTGATCAACTGTCTTGAGCCTACAGATCCCACACTGGTCAGAGCACTATCAGACTGTTTCATACAGGGTCCAGAATCTTCTCTTTGGTGAGACACATGCTTAGTTTGTAGCCATCCTCCAATCTTTTTTTTTTTTTTTTTTTTAAGGTAGTGCTGGAAATGGTGGCATGTGCCTGTAATCTCAGCACTTGAGAGGCTGTAACAGAAAGACTGTGAGTTCAAGGGCAGCCTGAGCTACATAGGTTCCAGGACAGCCAGGGCTACATAGTGACTGTCTCACCACACACACCAATTTATTTAATTTTATTTTTCAAGTTGAATGTCTCATGTAGCTCAGGCTGGCCTTGAATTGAATTTTCTTTGTAGCTGAGGATGACCTTGAATTCCTGATCCTCCTGTCTTCATCTCCCACATACTAGAACTATAGATCTGTACCACCACACCCAGCAAATACCACTTTTTAAAACATAGACTCTTTAGATGTCTGTGTGGATAAGTGATGATTAGCCTCTCAGGTGCTTAGTATACTTGGATCTAAAAAGAGCAGCAGTGTTGGAGAACAGTCTTGATTTTATTTACTTTATTCTGGGCTAGGAATACTTTGCTCCCACCTTCAGTGTTGGCTCTGGTCAGGAGAAGCCAACTTCTCCTTGGAATTTGGGTATGATAAAGTCAAACACTGCTGTAATAGTTTGGATAAGGTCCTTTTGCGGCAGGCTCTGTGGTCAAGCCCAAAGTTCAGCCCTCAGTACCACCACAAAAAAAAAATGGTCATGGGTTCCATCCCCAGCATGGCCTAAACCAGGCATGGTAGTTCATAACCTGTATTCCCAGCACTTCAGAGGTAGAGCAGGAGGATCAGAAGTTCAAGGTCAGCTTTGGCTACACAGTGAGTACCAGGGCAACTTGGACTTCAAAAGCCCTTGTCTAAAGCCTGGAGAGATGGCTCAGTGGTTAAGAGCATTTGTTGTTTTTACAGAGAATCTACTGGGGTTTAGTTTCTAGCACACACATGGTGGCTAACAATCATCCATAACTCCAGTTCCAGGGGATCTGATGCCTTCTTCTGGTGTCCACAGGCATTGCATACATGTGTACTGACATACATGTAGTCAGAACACTCATCCACATAAAAAAAAAATAAAATACAGACTCTGTCAAAAAAATCACCAAAAAAGGTGTGTGTGGGGGCAAAGGACTTAAGGAGATACTTCTTCAAAGGCAACAAACATAGGCTGCTGTTGAGAATGTTGGATAGTGCAGCTGTAGAACAAACCATTTGGCAGTTCCTCAGAGACTTAGACATGCAGCTGTCATGTGGCCTGGGAATTCTGCTCTCTTGTATATAGCCTGTGGAATAAAAACCAGGTACTCAGGTCTGGGAATGTACCTCAGTTGATAGAGTTGAACTCATATGTAATCTCTAGGTCTACGGGAACCCAGCATGGTGACGCATACCTCTCTGTGGTCCCCAGTACTCAGGAAGTAAAGACAGGTAGATCAGGAGTTCAAGGTGAGCCCAGACTGCATGAGACCCTGTCTCAGAAAACAGCAACAAAAACCCTGAACCAAATGACCTCCCCAAAACAGCAACGGCCACCACCAAAGAGGTCCTCAAATCCTGATTATTTCAAACTGAAGGTGGATCTGGTGCTTGTTTCCTCATCTGTGAAATGTAGACTGATAGGCACCTACCTTACCAGGTTGTTGTGCAGATTAAATGCTCTTTTTTTTTTAAATGTGTTTGAGTGTATGGCCTGTGTGTATGTAAGTGCACCTGTGTTGTGAGACAACAGAAGAGGACTTCAGATCCCCTGGAACTGAAATTACTGACAGTTGTTAGCTGCCGTGTGGGTGCTGGGATTCGAACCCCAGTCCTCTGCAAGAGCAGCCCAGTGCTCTTAACTGCTGAGCCATCTCTTCAGCCCATGTTTTTGTTTCTTTAAATTAAGGTATAATTCACACAATGTAAAATTAACTTTTATTTCATTTTATTTATTTATTTATTTATTTATTTATTTATTTATTTTGGTCTTTTTGAGACAGGGTC